TGTGTCAAAGAGGATTATCTAACGAGAGGATGTGCGTCCACGAGAGATAGATAGAGAGAAAGAGGCGAAGAGAGGTAAAAATAAGAATGACGCACATAGTCGCGCTGATCGCGTGCGCGCGCGCGCGCGCGGCGACAGGAACAAAGTAAAGGGAGCCGATCAAGTGGAGGTAATCAGGTCGAAGTAATTTCATCTTAATTTCCGACTCAACAAAACCCGACCGACCGTCCGTCCGCCTCGCGCGACGACGACGACGACGACGACGATGACGACGACAGGAGGCCACTTCGAGATTGTCGCAGCCCCGGCTGCGAGAGGCGACCGCGAGATGCAGAGAGACCGAAGGTATCATCGCCGCTCGAGGCTCCTCCTTCCTCAGGAGGACCCGAGCGCGCGATCCTTGTCGCGCGAGCGATCCTCCCTCGCGATCCTGCGCTTGCTGCCGCCGGCCAAGTGGCAGTCGGCACGGAAACGAGATTTTAATTCCACTCACCGGCGACGACGGCGACGACGGCGACGACGGCGACGAGATGCACCGCCTGCACTGTGTTGCAGTCTACGAGATGCACTTCCGCGCGCTCGCGCTCGCGCTCGCGCTCGCGCTCGCGCGAATGTGTGTCACGGGTTTCCCACGAGATGCACCGGCGAACGGCGGCGCGTCTCGCGGGTTTATACACCAATTACTATCGGGATGCCGATTGACCCGCGATTTGCACGCGTGTGGCCGGCGAGAGCGCGCGGAACAGGCTGACAAAAAGGGAGGACGAATGAGCAGGACGCGAGACGGCGGGAGAGACCATCGATTTCGCACGTCGCCGACGAGGACGAACGCTGAGTCGCCGCTGTCAGGGCGCTGACGCGCGTTATTATTCAGCGAATCCGCGACGTTCGCATAACTGTTCAGGCGGTACGTTATCCCCGCAGTCGCACGATCACGAGTCCCGGCGTCCTCCAAGTAGTCCACGTGGAGGAGACGCGTCTTGTCGGGAGATGTCGTCGCAGACCCACACACACACACACACACAAATATACCCCACGATGCAACGCATCAGCCAAGTTCCGCCAAGTCTCCTCGCCAAGTTCCTCGTCCCGGAACCGAGGCGTCTGCGGCGAGCCGGCGGGCGAATCGCGCGCTCGCGCGGGGCGCGGGGCGACGATCGCGAGGGGTAAATGGAGTCATGGTTTGTTCGCCGAGGCCAACAAGAACGTCTCGGATGCAACGGTATACGTCATAACATTCCCACGCTGGATGATCAGCCGGGCGGTTCTGGCCGTGGCGGTGGTGCGTCGGGGAAGCACGTCTCTTGCCGTGACTAATCGCGGACTAAACAATCCGCAGGACTCTCGGCCGCGCTTCTTCGCTTGCTCCGGCGTGTTCTCCACCATGTGCGTGTATCACACGCGAGCCGGTGTGGGCGCGCGAGGTCCCCCGCTCTTTTCCGTCAACTTCAGCCGGTTGTTTGTCGACTACGGTCGCGGGGCGACCGGCCGAGCGAGGTCGCAACCTTGCGCATGTCGTAATCGCGAATAGCGCGACATGTAGAACGAGATTGACACCTGATCCGCGACACCTGGCCCGTCGTGTTTCTCAAGAACCTTTGCGCCGACGGCTGTTTACGTCGTCACGCTCGATTCGAGCGTCGCGGATTTCCCAACACGCGCTCATTGCTTATTCTCATTCTCTCTCTCTCTCTCTCTCGGTCTCCGATTTATCTCAAGGCTCAACCCGACCTTGAACCGCCGAATTATGCGCCGCTGGACGGATGCAACGAGTTCGTCGGCTCTCTGTCGCGTCCACTCTCTGTCTCCCGTTTATTTTTATCCGTCATAAGTGTGCTTGGTTCCCGATTTACACACGATATTCGCGAATCAGCGGCGGTGCTGGGCCGTTCTCTCATGGCATGGTCAACGTGCTAATCACCGCTGTTAATCGACGAAGACCGCGTTATGACGGGCGGGACGAGTTGCCGAGCCGCGCTCGGCTGGCCAACGTTGCTAGCCAGGTACGAACCGTCGGGCGTCGTCTCGGGCCGGGCAATCCCGGATTTCGCAACGCTGCTCCGCGGCTAGCGGGCGATCCTTTCGGCGCCGACCGGTCGAAAAAACTACGCAGGAACGGGCCCGGAGAAACGGGCCGCCGTTCCGGGTAATGCTTCGAGAGCGAGCACGCATTCGGACCGTTCGCGGTTACTACGATGACCCCTGGCGACCCTCCGCGAGTAGTCCTCGTCAAATCCTGGAAAACGCGCTTTACTTTTTACCAACCGCTGCGCCATGTACTCGCGGTAACTAACGGTCGAACGGAGAAGAAGGAAACGGCGGGGCGCTCCGTTTCTCTCTAGCTCTCTCTCTCTCTCTCTCTCTCTCTCTCTCTCTCTCTCTCTCTCTCTCTCTCTCTCTCTCTCTCTCTCTCTCTCCACCTCCTTCCGCCTGTCCCCTTCTTGCTTTTTCGCTGGCTCTCCTCCTTTCTTTCCGCCGACAGCGGCGAATTAGAAATTACAATTAGCACAACCCGTTGCTTAACGCGCGCCTTACCGGGGAGCGTGAGAAAAGCGAACGGTTCGCTATTTTTACCGGGCGCTAATACGCGCCGATAGATTACAGCGTCGCGCGCGCGCGGTTTATTCAGTCGCGATCGACGCTGCTCGGTTTCGGTTCGTTAGCGGTTTAATCGCGCCTGGAATTGGTATCCCGACCGCGGCGGTACGGGCAACTTCTTATCACGCACCTCCACCGTGTCTTCGCGCGCGCGGTGCGGCGGCTGCGAACGCCGCCGTCCGTGGGAGAGTTTTATTAGAGGAGCGCGCACAGGAATCTCGTGGAGTTGAGCCTTGCGGAGCGGACGAGAAGTGGGCCACGTCGATGCGACGCGACGCAATCGCTAGTAGTAGTGATAGTAGTAGTAACAGTAGAGTCGGTGCGCGGGGTGGTCCTTCGCCGTCCTTTGTATATGTATATTTCGCGCGCGCGCGTTGTTCTATTTTTATTTCCCCCACACATACACACACACACACACACACATACATCCTAGTTTTCTATTTTTAATATTCTATTCACGAGCGCGCGCAGCCGCCGTTCCAATGATAATCCTTCCGGCGGTATAATCTGAGAGAGAGAGAGAGAGAGAGAGCCGTTGGTCTCCAAATGAACGCTCTGCGCCAAATCCCAGTGTTTCGCTCATCAAATTCGAGTACTCAAGTCCAGGCTGCTTTCCAGTTCCAGGTGTTTCCTTCGCGTGAAGTTCAGACCGAGCCGAGTTTCCCAGCCGACACGAGGAGGTTTCCACGCGGCGGTCAGTGTGCGTGTCTCCCAGCGGCAAATTCCGTCGGTCGACGTGTCGGGTTCCGCGGCGAAGAGTATACCGACGAAAACTCCACTCTCTCTCTCTCCTTCGTGTTTGCACTCTGTCGCGTACGGGAAGCCCGCGATAAAGTCGCCGAGGTGTAAACCGACTTCCTTCCTCGCGCATTGTTAACGGCGGTTTCGGCCGCATCCGTTTCGCGGAGAAAGCGGATCGCGCCGGGGCGCGTCACCTTAATACGGTCGTCCGCGCGGGCCGCTTCCGGTACGGAACGTGCGGTTTCCGGCGCACGTACGATATCGGCTATACGCGCTACGGTATATCGACAGTCGTCAGTAAGAACGAGGCTCCCGCGAGCGCCGGTCGGCTGATCGGCGCGCAGCACTCCCCGGTTCGCTCTCGAGGCTCGCGGCGGCCACGAGAACAAAGAAGACCCTCGTCGCGAATTCGTCTCGGCGAGAGCTCCCCGCGCTCTTCCGCGGGGCTCATCGTCGCGGCCAGCCAAGTCCAAGTGAATGAGAAGGAAATATCTTCTCGAAATAGTGATAAACGGCCAAACGAGTGATAAGACGACGACGCCGATCGGTCGATGACCGATCCGGAAGGACAGTGTGTGTGCGCGCGCACGCGCGCGAATATCAATTAATCGGCGCGCGAACAACGACCGGTCGATTCGACGCGAAAGCGCGAGGTCGCGCAGGACCCTCCCCCGGCGGAGTCTTCTTTCATGGTGATACCAGCTGACGGCCGGCTCGCCGTCATCCTCGTCGATCGCCTGGAAATATCCCGGGAGTACCCGCGCATACCGAATCGACGTGCCGGCGTTATGAAATACCAGAGTGGAAACGCTCGGCGAGTCTCGAGAGGTGCTTTCGCATTCGATCGAATTTCTCTCTCCTTCTTTCCCTGCGCCGCGGAACTTCTTTGTTCTCCAGCCCCGGAGCCCTGGAGTCTTCCTGCCTCGCCCTGCCGCGCTCCGCTCCGCTCCGCCGTGTCCGGTCGTTTCCTCGGCTCGACGCGGCTCGCTGAGAGTGGATTTCCCGAAAACGTCGATGGCCTATTTCTTCCGGCGACGCCGTCGTCGTCGTCGTCGCCGCCGCTTTGATTCCCCGCTGATCGCGCCTCGAAAAAGAGAAATCTAACGGCATCGCGGTTAACACCCACGCGCGGAACCATCGGGACGGCCAGAGGTCGGGACGGCTTTTCAACGCGAGAGGAACGAGATGTCCGTGAATCCACAACGCTCGCGCCGACGGAGAAGAGAGGAGGCATCTCGGGGAATTCGCACTTTGCGTCACTCCCGCGCGCACTTCCCGGAACTTGCGAGACAATCTTCCGCGAGTTGCCCGCATCGCGCGCGAGGAGTCGCGCGATATCTATCTTCTCGTTGAGATTTTCACACAATCGTCGCTTCGGCCTTGACAGCGGGCGGTGGTAGCGGCGAGGGGGTGGGAGGGGGGCGGGCGAGAGGAGCTGAACGTACTTGCGCGCATTACGTGCCCGTATCGGCGCGATGCAAATACCGAGGTCGTTACGCGAGCTAACGCGCCTCGCCGCGTCGTTCCCAACTGCTGAATAAAAAGACAATGACGACGACGACGACAACGACGACGACAACGATGGTGCAAACGACGTGCGCGCGACGTTCATTACGGCAATCATCGAAACTGATCGGCCGATTGTTCTCTCTCTGTTGCAGCGCCGAGATCGTCGAGCGCCGGCACCAACAACCTGCCGCCGTTGACGTTCCACCACGTGCACGGCGACAACATCCGGCTGTGCAATGGCGGCACGATCGCCAGGAGGCACGAGAGCTTTTGCAAGGGTGTCACCTTTAGCGCCAGACCCGTGCGAGTGGGCGAGAAGGTGAGAGCGATCGCGACATTTCTAAGTCGCGCGCGGTCGACATGCGGCGCATGCGCATGCTGATTGTGGGAAACCGGCGACTCGCGTTCCGCTCGAGAAGCCGCCGCGCCGTTTGCATTCCTCCGATATTAAAACACACCGCCGCCGCGACCGCGAGCAGCTTTTTTTACGCGCCTCGTTGTTTCGCATGTCGTCCGCGGCTGCGAGACGACGACTTGTTCCACGTTCGCCATGGTCAGGTCAGGTAACACAAGTAGATCGCGTGTAACCGCGTTAAACGGCCCTTTAAACGATCGCCCCCCATGGGCAACGGACGCGTCTTCCGCAGATACGCGATGGCCGATCGTTGTTAATGAGTCGTGGGCGGAAGCCGCGATTGCCGGTCGAGGCGTGTTCGGACGTCCTTTCGGCCCAAACACGGCGAATTTCAGCTAACGACGACACCGGGGACCGGGTCGTCGTCGTGCTCTCTAACGTCGTGTTTCTCTCTCTCTCTCTCTTTCCCTCTCCCTCTCCCTCTCTCTCCCTCCCTCTCTCTCTCCGCCGAGAGTATGTGTACCCGTAAAATGACGATGACGCGCGCCTCGTGGGAAGCGTTCTCTTAATTAATTCGCGAGGATGTGTTCGCGCGGGTAATTCCGTTTTAGGATCGCTCGGCTGGCGACGGAGTCGCGATTTCGCAAGCTGATTCCCAAGTCGAAATTCCGACTCTCCCCCGCGCATTAATCCTGCAAATTACGCCGAACTTGGAGAATCAATGTGGGGAGAATCTCGAAACGTGACATTTTGTACAGGCTCTTGTCCTACCTTGATGTTGCGAGTGGTCACTTATCGCCGTTCTCCTACGTGCCGAGACTTGAAGAGCGATCTATTCGAGTACTTATGTAATAGCCGTTTGTCTCGGTATTCTATCTGCATTTAATCTTTCCTCAGTTCCAACTAGCAGTGTTACTTGCAGCGAATGACTAGTGTCCATGTTGCAAATGATGAGCGATGATAAGCAAATGAGCAATATTACTTTTGAAGCTCATCCGACCGCGGATAGAATACGCGCGAGATAAACAAGTATCAAATAATCTCGATAGAGATCAATGGGTAGGGGAATAAATAAATCAATACACATCTTTTATTCGTAGTCTTTTCTTTTTTTTTTTTTTTTTTTTCCCTTCGAAAATTTGAGGATGTGAAAAAAGTGGGAAGGAAGGAGTTGTTGCAAAGGCGAGGATAACAGTTGTGTATATTTAAAGTGGGTATTTAATCTTGGTCGGTACAATAGCAAGGATAAAAAAAGAAAAAAAAACAGCTTTAGAAGATGCAGACGGGAGACGGGATTCACGAGCCAAGGAACATTATTGACATAATCAGTGTTATCAAAAGTACAACAATCGTAATTTTACGCCAAATATCTGAGGCCGATATTCGTACTACGTCATTATTCGATAAACAATTGTAATTTCATGCATCTCCGACTGTGCATTTTTCACAAGTACGAGAGATATTTATCGGAATATTCGATTAATAATCCACAAAAGCGGATCCGTAATTAATCGTGCTCGATTAATGATTCTAAAGAATTTTCACTGCGACTACGAATAACGGCCTGAATTTCGACCTGGGTAGCAACTCGCATTCGTCCGTTAAGATCGGGAATATGCCGTTCGCAACAAATAAATAATTTGACATACCTGGAGATATATGATGCGTCGCTGTCCACGTCCGGTCGTCCTACATCCTCCGCGCGCGGTCCTCGCTCCCGGTTCAGCATCCTGCTCCCTCGGCCGCTCCTCGAACACTCCATTGTGGCGCTGACACTGACACTCGCGCGCGGATCCAATCGAACGGCCGTATTAATTAACACGATGCCGATTAAACATCTCAAGGGCCCGCGAGGGTGAGAAGCGACGCGCGCTCCGCGTCGCCAGTCGTCCGCGAAAACACTGACTGCGTACAGCGAAGAAAGCTCCTTTATAACTGTTGTCCGTAAATCTGACTGGTGCATGCTCTTGGATCCAGCCATATTTAAGAGTATACGCCAATTAGATTCACGAATTTTCACAATGGTTGTAAAGCAGCTTTCTCCGCTGAACGTAAACACCGACGCGCACCTAGCTCCGTCCGCCGAGAGGTCACAACGATGAATGTTGCCCAGCATTCCGCGAGTCCCGCTTGGAACTCGCCGACGGTTTTTTTCGCTTTGTTTATTTCGCACCGCTTGAAGGACCGTTGTTTCATCGTACCGAATAGTGTAGTATAATGTAGCGAATAGATTAAAATATCTATTGATGCGTGTCGTCATCGGGCGCGCAACTGTTATTTGGTCTGTTCTTTTCTTCCGCACCGCTCTGCACTGGTGCGACAAGTTGAAGTGAGACAAATACATACTTGTCTCACTCGAACTTATCGCACCAGTGCAGCGGTACAGATGCAGGAAAAGAACAGACCTATAATCTTTCACTCTCCAACTCCCGAATCCGAATGTCGAAACTCGCAGCGCCAACCAACGAATTTGGCGAAGTTTATGAAGAGCGTCTTTTGATCGTTTAATATCCTCTTGCCGAACGTGCTTTGGAAAACCGCGCGATCGATGCGCGTTACTCAAGTTGAACTTGAGAATAAAAGATGTAGAGTGCAGTGTGAGTCGATGTGACACCGAATATGAGGTGTAGTCCTGAGGTAATAAGATCTTTAACCGACAACAGCTGAGACGAGTGTCACGTCCCCCTCGAGATACCGCGCCGGTATCTCTCTTCAAGTATCAGATGAGATTCGCAGAGCTAACGTTAGAAACAGAATTGCGACTCGGGGGAGTCTCGCGTAGATGAATGATTTAACACGCATGCACGTCCGAGCCACCCACACACGAGAGCGCGACTCACTCTACAAGCTAGGCCTTTTCTCTGCAATCACGCAGGTCTGCGTAAAGTTCCTGGAGATATCCGACAATTGGAGCGGCGTGATCCGCTTCGGCTTCACCAGCAACGACCCGATCAATCTGAGGAGTGGCCTGCCGAGGTACGCGTGTCCCGACTTGACGAATAAGCCGGGCTACTGGGCCAAAGCGTTAGCCGAGAGATTTGCCGAGCGGGACACGGTGCTCTTCTACTACGTAACCTCGGCGGGCGATGTTCACTTCGGCGTCAACGGCGAGGAGAAGGGTCTCTTCTTCAGCGGCGTGGAGACGCGGGGCCCGTTATGGGCGATCATCGACGTCTACGGCAACAGCACTGCGATCGAGTTCGTCGATCCGAACCGGCAACACTTCAACAACATCAGGCGAGGCGCCGAGCACAGCAACGAGGATAACGCGCAGCACAGCAGGCACTCGGCGATGGACGACGCCAGCAACGCCGGCAGGGACGTCGAAAGGATCATCGTGCCGTCCATGCAGAGCTTGTCGATCCATCATGAGCCCGACGTCGAGCTGCCCGGGCTCAGGTTTCAACCTGCCGGCGTCATCTTCACCCCGCTGCCCTTCCACTCGTGAGTATCGAGCGCTGGATGCACTCGCCGCGTCTTTCGCTCGTCTTACCGTCTCGGTCCAGCAAGCAGCGCGAGTGCGTTGAGTCCTTGTTGAGTCCAGACTAGGTGCTGGAGATTGAGGATTGAAACTGCAGGTTGAACATTGGCACTTGACACCGGTCGATTCGCCTGTCGAATTTTCCTGTGTCTCATCTAATCGACAAGTTCTAGTCTGACGTGGACCACCTGACGTGAGTCCACTTCGAGGATCGAAACTGGACTAATCGAGCCGAGATTGGAGTTAGTTTGATTCACCAAACTCTACTTCTTAGTCTAATCAATACCGAGCCTGATGTGGACTTGACACAAGTCTAATCGAAGATTGAAACTTGACCGTCTGCGATAGGTCGACTTTGTCGCGCTCGCTAACGGTCGTCGCTGGCTCCGGCCACCTTCGTCGCCGATTTTGCCGATTGGCGATTCGAGGGTCCCGATCACGAAAGTGCGATTCGCCCGCGCTCCGGATTTCACGTCCGTTCCGCAAGGCCGCGCTCGTGCGATTACGTTCTCCAATTAAAAGCCGCACGCCGCGTAATCTCCCTCCCCTCCCGCTTGGTCGCGAGGAACCGCGTCCGATTGTTTCGTTTCACCACGGCGAGTGATATAACGCGCGCAAAAGCCGAGAGTCTTCGGTCTCTCCGCGATGAAGACGACTCGCGCGCGCGCGCGACGCTCAACGCGATTCGCCGCACCGTTCAGCCACACAGAACTAATTCGCCGTCCACTTTTCACGGTTTCCCAAGACGCCCGTCATTAGCGAGCGCCGCCCGCTAACCGCTTCCTGGTTTTCTTTTGCAGCACTCGGGGCAGGAACATCCGCTTCAGCAACCAGCAGTGCGTGGCGACGCGCACCGACACGGAATTCTGTCACGGCTACGCCTTCACGAGCCGGCCGTTGCTGCTGGGTGAACGGTTGGTCGTGCAGATCCTCTCTACCGAGCCCATGTACGTAGGCGCCCTCGCATTGGGCTTGACCTCGTGCGACCCTGCACGGCTGTCTCCGGACGACCTACCGGACGACAGTGACCTGCTTCTGGACCGTCCCGAGTACTGGGTGGTCTCCAAAGATGTGGCGTCTAGTCCGCAACCCGGCGATGAGATCGCTTTCACGGTGACCCACTACGGAGAGGTGCAGATGAGCAAGAACGGCGGCCCGCCGAATGTCGTCATGCACGTCGACCAAAGTCTGCAGTTGTGGGCATTTGTAGACGCTTACGGTAGCACTCAGAGGGTCAGGATGTTGGCCAGTAGACCGACATCGCCGCCACGGCAACGTCAGAGCAATCCTTCACCAGCCAATGTCGTGCAGCAGCAGCAGCAGCAGCAGCAGCAGCAGCAGCAACAGCAGCAGCAGCAACAGCAGCAACAGCAGCAGCAGCAGCAGCAGCAACAGCAACAGCACTCGAACCACAGCAACGCTGCCACGGAACTGTCTCGATTCTCCGAGATGGTACAGTTCAAGCCGGCGGTGGGTGGCGGCACCGTTCTCGTTGTCAACCTGCCACCTCAGGCAGGCTACCCTACCCCTCCGCCGCCGCCCACGCCGCAACCGATCTACGCGTCGGCGAACGCGCACGCCAGAAACGCGCAGCAACCGGCGCAACAGCAACAGCAACAACAACCGGCGCACCTGTCGTCCGCAGCGGCTCCGGCACCGGTGCCGCACCCGGGCTCCTCCAGACAGTCCTCGCCGCCGCTTACCGGCACCATGGCCAGTACCGGCTCGTCCACCTACGTGGACCCGGTCACGTACCAGAGTCTAGACGGCACTCTGACCTCGCACTCGCACGCTTCCTCCCACTTGCAGCAATGGAGCGAGAGCCTGCAACCGACGCTGACCGGTCAGCCGAGCGAGTGCTCCATTTGCTACGAGAGGAGCATCGACAGCGTGCTGTACATGTGCGGTCACATGTGCATGTGCTACACCTGCGCGATCCAGCAATGGCGCGGCAAGGGTGGCGGTCACTGTCCGCTCTGTCGCGCGCCGATCCGCGACGTCATTCGCATCTACCGGTCCTGAACGTCGTCTCGGCCGGGTCGTGACCGGGCCCACGTTGTGGGTTAAGAGGCGAGTGTGAACGTCTTCCCGGTTCCCACCGCCGTCGCCCAGTATCATCATTACCGTGCTTCCGTCGTCGTTTCCTTCCGCAGCGCTTGCGCGCTCGCTCGCATGCGTGCGTGCGTGCGTGCGTGCGTGCGTGCGTGCATGCGTGCGCGTGCGAACACCCCGCCGCGGTTCATCCGGAGCGCTTCTCGCCGCGCATCCACCGCCGGGACAAACGATACAGCCTCTAACACCGTCTGCGATACACCAGCACGAGCGTCGGGATAATCGCGAGTCGCCGCTCCCTCTCACACTGCCGTATTATCAATTCTTTTCTACTGGACAGCCGGGCCACGTAACATGTTTCGCGACGAAGCCAACGAGGTGGATGTGCGCACACGCACATATCGAGCCACCCTAAAAGTTTCTCCGGGAGATAGATTGCTTCGCGCGACCAAAGGAACAACAGTCGCGAACTGTGCCGAGACGAGAAGATCACTGTCGCGACGCGCCTATGTCTATGCCATGATCGCGTCGCTGTCAATTAACGTGCCAATTAATGAGGGAGTGCGAAGCATCACCTGCGCCAGGGAAAGCAGCGGTGCTTTCGGGAAATCGCGATCACTGCCGCCGTTTGCGATCGAGCGAGAACGCGGAGATGAGTCGCCGCGGGTTTGTATGAGGATGAGAGAGAGAGAGAGAGAGAGAGAGAGAGAGAGAGAGAGAGAGAGAGAGAGAGAGAGAGAGAGGGAAAGAGAGAGAGAGAGAGAGAGGGAGAGGGAGAGCAAATGAGAATGTATGTGTGCTGCGTGTGTTGGGTCTGTATGAAAGAGAAAGAGACATATAACAGCAGTCGCTGTGAATGATCGAGTTGCTGCTTGCATTGATGACATCCTGTCAAGTCCTGTCGTGCGAATGCGTGAGAGATATGAGTGAGTGCGAGGTTACGCGCGATTGCAAAAAGAGATAGATCGATTTTAGATATTTTCACAAGCGACACACATAATCGTCACTACCATTACCAATTTACTACTATTATTACTACTACTATTACTACCACTACTATTACTGTTGCTATTACTGCTATTACTACTACTGCTATTACTACTACTGCTACTACCGCTACCCACTCTCTACTCCCACTTCGATACTATCAGTACCACCATCACCACTACTACTACTACTACTACTATTACTATTACTACTACTACTACTGCTACTACTACCACTACTATTACTACTACTATTATCGTACTATTTCCAATGTTTTAATTATTTTATTACTTTGTTATTATTATTTTTAATATCAACTCTCTGTCGCTACTATATATTAGTTATTATTATTATTATTATTATTATTATTAGTTATTTGTTCACATTGCAACTATCTTTATTACTCGCGAGCAGCTTCATTTGTCACAATCGCTATTTACTTTTACAATTGCCGAGATTATAGTGATGGTTGGTGAATTAACATAGTCACTATATATAGTGTGATTATTATTTAATGGACCGTGAGATTACGTAGAACTTTTCGATCGGACGCCTGGAGCATTTTTAGAGCAAGTTCGTTCGCGCTCCTCTCCCCGCCGTCTTGTAGGACGTGATCGTATGGGATCCCGTTTGGTTTCGGTTTTCCACGACGTAAACGCGAAGGGCTCGAGATGCAGACATTCGTTCGCATTTCCTTCCGCGCTCGTACGATTATTTTCGCCTTGCGACGCCTTGTAACGCACGAGAGTTCATAGTCGTCGTGAAGTCTGACATGCGTCGTATCAGGTGGGTTCTTACCAAAGATCCTAATCGTCTCCCGCCTGTTATTGTGTTACTTCGTTATTCGCCGTTACTTCGTGATATTTTGCGGGCATCCCAACGAGCAACCGCGTACTGACAGCGCGACTGACGGGCGACGGGCGACAATCGCTTCCAACTGAACGACCTCAATCTTGTCACCCCGTTCGAAAAACCCACGATCATCCAGACTCTGGAAAGTCTTCGGCATCGTTTCGGACGTTTGGCTTCAAGATGACACGTACCATGACGATTAGCGAGAGATGTCGAGTCTCCCGCAAACAACACGGCACTTCGCTCGGCAGCAGCGCGCTCCACCAGCCGATGTAATCGCGAGCTTCTTTTGGATACTTTTCTAGCGGAGTTCGGAACGAAGAAGCAGGATCAAGTTTCGATTCCAAGCCCCGCCGTCGCGTTTCCCGCGAATTTCCGGAACTTCCGCATGGCTTCGCTTCCTCGCGCCGACGATTCGCGTCCATTCGTTGGGAGGAATCGCAAAAACCGAGTGACATTGTCGCGTTGATACTCGTGCAAGTTCGAGAACTCGGCGCTGCTCTTCGAGGTTGTCGTACCTTACGCAGACTTTTTATTAATTTCGGGGAAGGACTTACAGACTTCTCTTGTAAGTTTTTGTAAGCGTGCGGCACCCTCCGACACTCGCCTTACGAAACGAGAGATGAGCTCTTTTACACGTGCGCGATAATTTAATAACCGTGGATTCAACTAAGATGAGCGACAGAATGCCTCTTTATCGCGCACAATCGTCCGCATTTTATTTCGCGACGCGCCCTTTCCTGAGAAGCGCGAGAGGGAACGACGAACTTCTTGCGAGTTTGACGAGAATGAGAGAGAGAGAATACTTTTGAGCGAGACATAACGATTTCGAGCCAAAGGGAAACGAGGTGTCTGAGCCCTTGAGAAAAAGAAAAGAAAAAAAATTAACTTTTAGCGAGAAGCGAAGAGAGAAGAGGAGACGATCCTCTCTCGATTATAACTAATGAATGCGCAATAAAGCAGTAGTGAAATCTCTAGTCCAGCGAGCGGCGGGTCTTCCAATCCAAAAGAGCCGCCAATCCAAAAAGTATGACGAGTATGAGATACGAGGCAGTGCTTTCCTTCTCCCTCCAATAAACGGGGAAAGAGAAGGAAAGAGAGATAGGTAGGCGTGCGCGCGCGCTAGAGAGAGAGAGAGAGAGAGAGAAAGAGAGTGAGACCGAGAGATTTTATAGATTATGAAGAGAGACGCGAATTATTGCAACACGCCTGAAATATGCCGAGCCAAATGGCGCGTCCGCGATTTTATCAAATTGTGGAAAAAGGATGTAACGATAGGAATGATTAATAATATTATTATTTTATTGATATGACGAGAGAGAAAGGGGAAAATAGTTCCAGATCATTGCTAACGATGCGAAGAGAAATTAGAGAGCGCGAGAAAGAAAAAGAGAGAGAGAGAGAGAGGAAGATGTTCGCGGTTTAATCATTATACGAATGCTTACAATTTACTCTCGTTATCATCGTTATCATCGCGGTCAGCGCGGTTAGTTGTCATTTATAGCGTTCGTAGGCTTGGCTGCGTCTGCGATATATCGTCGTCGCTCTACTTACGTTTCTTACTTTTGATCTGCTATTCGCCTATTATTATTATTATTAATATTATTATTATTATTATTAATATTATCATTACTATTATTATAATCATCATCATCACCATCATCATCATCATCATCATCATCATCATCATCAATGTACGACTGTATTGTGCGACTAACGGCTATTTAATTCGACATTTAATTGCGGAATGCATGTTCGCGAGCGAGAGTACCGACGTGTTTCTTTTTCTTTCGTTTTTGCCCTGCAACGTCCATATATATATATATATATATATATATATACATATATATACATATATATACATATATACATATATATATATAAATATAAATATAAATATGCATATACATGTAGGTTCCGCTATTCCCCACGTGTCATACGCAGAGAGACACCTATATATACACGCATACACGCACAATACACAGGCGAGAGAAAAAGAAGAGAGAAAAAAAGAGAGAGAGAGAGAGAGAGACATATATAAACATTCGCGATTTTTACACAACTGCCACGACACACTTCCACCGCGCCCGATGGGGAAGAGAAGGAAAAAGAATTCTACAACGCGATGAGAGAGTTTCTCCGACCGTAATGTAAAAAAAGATATGCCGATGGAAATTTATACATATGTAATATAATTCGTGCGCAGCCGCGTGCTGTTCTACACAATAAAAAGCCTATAATATCTCTGAGTCATATCGTCTCGTTTTGCAACTCCCTCTCGCTCCTTGCCGCCCTCTCCACCCACCTCCTCATCTCCTTTTCGGAAATCTTTCGCGCGAATGGAGTCCGCGAGTCCGCGAAACTGACAATCCTCGTAACACCGAGTGAATGTTCTCATTTCTTCTTTTATTGCACAACACGAGGACGCATTGAACCCTGTAAATCTGTCGCAGGATCCCTGCGGATCCAGTCGAGGAGGACTGAATCCACAAGTACCTCGCGACAAATCTAAAATAAAAAACGTTTTACACACAAAGAACATGTACAGAGGAGGTAACAAAAAAAGGGAGATACACAAGTATAAAGTAAACTTGTAAATAAAAAATAAAAAATGTACATGCATAAAAATGTATAAAAAAGGGGAGAAAACGGGGCGAGACACCGCTAACGAGACGTCCGTTTATCCCATCGCGTTCCCGGTGCGTGCGATTCTCGCTCTGCAAGCGGAAGCTTCTAAAGTTCTTCGGCCCCGATGTCCGGGGAGTCCGCGGCAACCTCCTTGTAATCCTTCTCCAATGCCGCCAGATCCTCCCTGGCTTCGTTGAACTCGCTCTCGTCCATGTTCTCGGCAACGTACCTGCCGGCAACGTACCGCCACCATCCCTCGGTAAAAACCACAACGTTGATTCGACGTCGATGAGGGTTGCATTAATGTTGATTCAACGTTTCATCGACGTCCATCCACTCGTCAACGTCAAATCAACGTCGAATCAACGTTATAGTTCCGACTGGTCGCATGAAGACTGCGCGACACGACCACGCATAACGCTAATCTCACGAGGTAAGAAGTATGATGCACAGGGTCAGGGTGTTTACCAATGCACGAACGCTCGTTTGCTGAACATCAGGTCGAACTTCCGGTTCAGCCGGCTCCACGCCTCGGAGATGGCCGTGGTGTTCGCCAACATGGCCATAGCTCTTTGTACCTTCGCGAGGTCGCCACCCGGCACCACCGTTGGTGGTTGATAATTGATCCCTACCTGCCGGTCCGAGACGATCAGTCGACTGATTGAATTTGAAGAGAGCCCGAAGTCTCTCTCGTGAATGACTTATTTACCCCCTCCCCTCGAGTTGGAACGAAGGAACATTGGAGTAAAGGATTAACCTTGAATCCGGTCGGGCACCAGTCGACAAACTGTATCGATCTCTTTGTTTTGATAGACGCGATTGAGGCGTTCACGTCCTTCGGGACGACGTCGCCACGGTAGAGCAGGCAGCAGGCCATGTATTTGCCTCTTCGTGGGTCGCACTTGACCATCTGCATGGCCGGCTCGAAGCAAGCTGAGGTGAGTTCCATGACCGTCAGCTGCTCGTGGTAAGCCTTCTCGACCGACACGATGGGCGCATACGTCGCCAATGGGAAGTGTATCCTAGGATAGGGCACGAGGTTGGTCTGGAACTCGGTGAGGTCGACGTTGAGAGCGCCGTCGAATCTCAAGGACGCCGTGATCGACGAGACAATCTGGCCGATCAGCCGGTTGAGATTCGTGTAGGTCGGCCGCTCGATGTCGAGATTGCGCCGGCAAATGTCGTAGATGGCCTCGTTGTCCACGAGGAACGCGCAGTCCGAGTTCTCGAGGGTGGTGTGGGTCGTCAGGATGGCGTTGTACGGCTCCACCACGGCGGTGGAGATCTGCGGCGACGGGTAGATGGCGAACTCGAGCTTCGACTTTTTGCCGTAGTCCATCGACAGACGGTCCATCAGCAAACTGGCGAAGCCGGAGCCGGTGCCGCCGCCGAACGCGTGGAAGATGAGGAAGCCTTGCAGGCCGGAGCACATGTCGGCTATCTTGCGTATCCGGTCGAGCACGAGGTCGATCATCTCCTTGCCGAGGGTGTAGTGCCCGCGCGCGTAATTGTTCGCGGCGTCCTCCTTGCCGGAGATCAGCTGTTCAGGGTGGAACAGCTGATGGTAGGTTCCCGTGCGCACCTCGTCTGTGAACGACAACGACCGATCGATGCGCGACTTCGCGACACGGATTGACATTCGCGGAGACGAGAAGCTCGCGAAGAGCGCGTCACTTCAGAAATATATATACTACTCCGTTCGCCGGAGTTTCTTGCTGAGTAAAGTCTCACTCGAGTTCGAGCGACTCGCTTGTCACTCGACTTTTCGAGCGGGACTTCAGGGAAGTCTCTAGTCAGGTCTAGAGAACGCAGTCACGCGAGCCAAATATCTCGCAGGCGATTTACCTATCACCGTAGGCTCGAGATCGAGGAAGACAGCTCGGGGCACGTATTTGCCGCCGCCGGTCTCGCTGAAGAAGGTCTGGAAGCCTTCGTCGCTGGCGCAATTCTGCGGCGGCAACATACCGTCGGGTTGTATGCCGTGTTCCAAGCAGTACAGCTCCCAGCAGGCGTTGCCCATTTGCACGCCTCCTTGACCGATATGCACGGAGAGCACCTCGCGCTGTCGTGTATTTTTCGGATCGAATTAGGATCCTATCTTACCGGACAGCTGTCTCGCGGTCGCTTCGCTTTCATCGTGACCTTCGGAAACCTACGTCTCTATCCCGGGAATCTTACGAGATCAATACCGTCCCCCGCCCCAAGGTCTAGCCAGCGCCAGCGAACGCGAGAGCCTCCAATTGTCAATCGCGCGCGCGATTGTGATGGCGATTTTGCGATATTTACCATCTTGGGACCGAAGAATTAGCTTGCAGCCGGAGATGGGATAAACGAACAACTTTCGATGTCGGCCACCGAGATCGCGAACTGACGCGATCTGTTTTGTTTCACCCGTTGCTCGGAGAAACGGGGCGACTTGACGCGAAGATCTAGGAGGCCTGGATGAAAATATATAGATTTACGACAAATTGAGGTAGATTGAAAAGAAATGTAGGAACGTCGCGGGTGCTCTTAAGAGCATCTTTCTATCTCGAAGTCATTAAATAGGCGCGTTTAATGATAAATCGTCAAGTCGGGGGAGTATCTTGTATCAACGGAGGGTTGCCACCCCCGTACCACGTGTATTTTCGAATAGTGTGTCAGTGGACGAGGTGGCCGAGAGGTTAAGGCGTTGGACTGCTAATCCAATGTGCTCTGCACGCGTGGGTTCGAATCCCATCCTCGTCGATGGATTTTTTTGCCGCGCCTAAGGAAATCTTTCTACAGTCTAAGAACGTACCAGAGGACCGACTGGTCGTCGCCGCACCGTAGTGCAACGTTCGACGTGAAAGCAGAAGAAAAGCTGAAAATGAAAAACACGAAGAGAACTAGCGGAGAATATCTTTCGAATATATTCCTCTCCGAGTTACACATCAATCAATCGATAATATATGCGTATGTAAAAGCGTACGTATATATTATTTCAGTAGACAATTAAAAAGTGTATAACAATGTTACAAACGCATCTCTAGTTGTCGGTATCGAACCTACCCTAGAAGGCACCGTTTAACGCTGTTGGTAGCGCTTTAATTATAATTGTATTACTCATAAGTTAACGCGATCATTGGCAGTAACGTGGCTTGCGAAGGTGATCTCTCTTCGTTCGAGACCATTACGTTATTAGTCGAGACGATATATTTGATTAATACGTGAGCGAGCACAGACAGACAGACAGACAGGCACAAGAAGGGGACGTCAACGAGCGCGCGACATTTTCTTGCTCTTGTCGTTCTCGATGGGAGGCGGCGGTCCTTTGGCGTTTTGGTGTCGGTTGTACACGCTGCAAAAAGTGACAGGTGACTCGTCTCTCTCGTCTACGCCCTGAGCGATCAATAACTACGTCAATCTTCGCGAATCGCGCACGACGACGACGACGACGACGACGACGACGACGACGACGGTGAGAGACAGAATATAGTCCGCGAGAAAATGGTGCGCGCGCGCGCGCGCGATTCGAGAAGGTTGTGACGTAGCCGTCGATCGTCCTTGAAGATCGTCCGGACGATCAGATCCGATGACGATAAGGACACCTACTATCGATAAGTTTCCGACCGGATGTAGTCCATAACGTGAGATATGCCCACTTGCAGCTGATCGCCGATCGGGGTGACCCACGGATTGAACTCCATCCGGAACACCGCCTTGTTACCCACCAGGTCCAAGTTTCCTGCAAGAGCAGCGATTTATGCAGCGTCCATAACTTCACCTCCACCGAGTTGCGATCGCGTTTTTCTCTGTCTGTCTATCGATCTGTCATCTATCTATCTATCTATTCGTGTCCAACTATTATCTATCTATCCACCTAATTCGGGCGGCAACACCGTCAGTCGATTTCCCTGGATATGCAGCTCCCTCAGGCGAGTCAGCTCTCCGATCTCTTTCGGCAACTCGACCAGATCGTTTTCCCTCAACACGAGCTAGAAACAAATGTCGGTCGAGAGATTAGCGAAAGCGGACGCAGAAGCATTTCTCCCGAGGGATGAGAGGAAACGAGCGAGAGTCACGTAGACGAGAGGTTCTTACGATTTGAAGATTCTTCAGCTGGCCGATCTCGGGCGGCAGGTACTCGAAATCGTTGTCAGCCAGGTAGAGAGCTCTTAGGGTCTCTGAGGAGAAGAGAAGAATGAAAACGCGCGCGATTCGCGGGGAAGGATACAATCGACCGAACCTAAAGACCACGACTGACCCATCATGAAGAAGTTGCCGGGCAGATTCTTCTCGCTGAGATTGTTATACGTGAGATCCAACACCTCGAGGACCGGAAACGCGCCGAAGCCGCGGGGCAGCACGTCTAGTCGGTTCATTCTACGCTTCGAAACGAAACGTTAAACGTCCGTCACGACCGTCAAGTTATAATAAAGTGCGCGCTAGCCATTTACTGACCCGACGTTCAGGATTCGCAGCTTCGGCATCTGCGACAGCGAAATGGGCAGCTCGGTGATGTGATTGTTGAAGAGATTCAGTATCTCCAGGTTGGTCAGATTCGCGAGGCCCGGTGGTACCGCTGTAGCATTGGAAAACGTTCGTTGGCGTGATTAATCGATTCAAGCCGACGCGACGCGACGCGACGCGACACTAACATGCGGGGGATTACGTCAGGATGGGACGTTACCTTGAATCTTATTGTGACTTAACGTCAGCCTCGTTACATTGATCATGTTCACTGAAACATAATAAAACGTGATAAAACACGGGCCAGGGCCTTCGCCGCGCGAGCTCGAAAAATAAAGAACAGCGGCAACATTAAACACACGCAACGACACTATAAAATATTTCACGCGACAGAAAAGATACACGGACACGTCGAAGAATTGTTTTCGGAAACTTTGGTTTCAATTATAAGGTTGGTAAAAGCCTTAAGCTAATTTTAATACGTTCCGTAATTGATCAGCTGATCTCACGTTTAGACGTCCACAGCCATGTGTGCGCTATGTTTCGTTTACAAACTTGATTCTAGCTATTAATCTTGTAACGTTAGACGTTAGAAATGGATCGATTTTTTATTACTAATTATATTGATAATTGATCAGCTGATCAATTGCGGAACGTATCCAAGTTAACTCAAGGCCTATCCAGATCTAAAAGAAGCAAAGTTTCCGAAACCGATTTCGGGACAGAGGCCTGTCGTACGGATGTATGTATGTATCTACGTACACTTTGTTTTCACCGTTCGCGGCGCACAGACTCGACTTGTCAAAATTCAAACGGAAAGTGCGCGAGCGCGCGTGCGCCGGCGCAGCCACGTGGTCGGGCGGCGCGGGGGAGGGGGGCGAGGAATGGCCGCGCGTATGCGAGCCGCCCGCTCGAAAAAAGTAGCCGCGACAAGTTGCCTAATTTGGCGATCCGCGCGCGAAGCTGTCGCGTCGCGAGCACTCACGCAAGCCCGGCATCTCCTCGAACGTGGCGATGCCCTTGTCCGCGAGATCCAGCTCGGGATTCTGGATCTCCCGCGCCTCGTCCAGCACCTTCTTCGCCTTTGACATCTTCCCCGCAGGAATACACGACACTGGCGCGGCCTGATTCATCGCGCGGCCAACACACACGTCGTCGGAGGGGTATATCCGCGAGAGACCAATGCGTCGTCTCCTGTTCCCGGATGATGCGTCATCGACTACTCCGGCGCACTCTATTTTATCGTCCCGATAAACCGACGCGAGGCGCGCGCGACCCGCCGCACGCCAGATGGCGCTCGCAGTACTTCCAGCCGCGGCTTCGACTAGACGCGCGACTTCCCTCCCTCGTTGACGTCGGCCGCCGCGCTGCGCGTGCGGCTCTTTTTCTACTTGAAAAGCCATCAAAGCGACTGCACGCGCTATTCTGCAACTTTCGACGACGGTGTCGTTGTCGTTACGTCATCGTCGCGCGGGTATAATGTACGGTAGAAGAACCGGGCGACGACAGTCTCACGAGATAACGACATTGAAAGTTACAAAACGGACGAGCCAAGTTACCTAAGCTACCTTTGTAACACACTTCGGACGACTACTCCCCTCTTCCTCGCTCCTCGGAGACCCGTTGAGAGTAAGTTCTCCCTTTTCTCTCCTTAACCTCACGTGTATTTTCGCACGCGCCTCTTCAGACTCGGGCTCCGATCTCGCCCGAGTCTCGCGGCACGATGGAAAAACGGATCTCGAATTGTAGTCGCCAATTTTTCCTAACGATCTCGCTTCAAGATGGAGTCCTCGGATTATATCCGTGGATGCGACCCGCGAGAAAGCGGTCTCAACGCGTTGATCGCTCGTTCCCGATGGGCGTTAATAAATCGCGCGCGATTACAACGCGATCGCACCGGATGAACGCGCGGATGGCACCGTGCGCGCGCGCGGTTTTAATAAACTGGTTTTAATAATGTTTGGGATTTTTGTGTGTGTGCCGTTGGCCGCTGCGGTTGAAACCGGAGCGGCGCGCATTCCGCAGCGGTGCCGGGCGCGGAGCGATGTGCGATCGGCGACATTAAAGATAACAGGGAAGAAGGAACTTTTCTCTCTCTCTCTCTCTCTCTCGCGCGCGCGCGCGCGCGCGCGAGAGGCCTGGGATAAGATCTGGAGCGCGCGAGAGTAGCCACGTATCGAAAATTACCACGGTCGCTTGCGCTCCTTCGTCGCTCCGCGCCTCCGATTTAGAAAATAGCCGCTGTTGAAGCGGAGGATAACGCGGCTTTCCACGTCGATCCGAATGAACGACACGTCGGTATTTCGCTCTTCCGCGACGAGCCGCGGGTTTAATGCGGACGGCGAGAGCGACGTTGGAATTGCGAAAACTCGGCGTCCGATTATGTCATCGTGGTAGCCGCGAGCTACTCCTCCTCGATCCGTCTTGTCGACTCACAGCGGCGATCGTGAATCCATCTTAGAAAGGAGGATCACTGGACGCTCAACGGACGTCGAGTGTACCCTTTTATAACCCACCAACTTCCGCTATGAGCGGTGAGCAGAGGTTTTTCTCGATCTGTCGTACGTATTGTGAACAAATTCTTTTCCGCGGTCGAAAGACTGTCGAACGCGCGCGCGCGAGTGCGAGCGCATCGATATCGTTTCCTATTTCGCGAGCGGAATGCGCAAGCGGCAGGAGAGAGAGAGAGAGAGAGAGAGAGAGAGAGAGAGAAGGAGAGACGGTTATCGAGGGGGCGACGGGTGGCCTCTCTGGTAACATTTCCGAAAACTATAAATATCTCTCGATGGCGCGGCGGCGATGATCCGGCCGGTCGGCCGGCCGGCTGGCCGGCTCTCGCTTCCTCCACGTGCCCGACGTCGTTTTCTCCGTTATCGGCGAACAGGCCGCGGTAACAGGGGCAGGCTAAAAGTACGAGGAGAGTGTGGCGCCAAACAGCACCCGAGGGCTCGTAAGGTTAGCGACCTTGGCGTGCACGTAAAGGCAAAGGACAGGACAGGCAGGCCGCCGCTGCCGCCGTCGCCGCCGCCGCCGCCGCCGCCGCGACCGGCGGCGCGCAGTGGAGGAGCGGGAGGGGGGAGGCGGCCCACCTCTTCGAGCATCCATCATTGCTATCCAGCAATCAGTGCCAAGCAACATTATCGGTCAATTTACTGACGCCGTGACCGGTCTCGCCGCGCCGCACCGGCGCGGAAAAAGCAAATCTCGTTACCGCAACGAGGGAGGGAAAGAGAGGGAGGGGGAGAGAGAGAGAGAGAGAGAGAGAGAGCCAATCGCCTTTCCAAACGCGCTGCTAACGCAACGTAACGCGACGCAATGCAACGCAGTGTAACGCGACGCGATGCAACACCAACGATCCTCTTAACGAGGAGACGCGCGTTACACGACACGATCGTTCTCCGGCGAGGAGAGAACTTGTGGGGAGAAGTGTAATGGAGATTTAGACGAATTCAAAGTCGCGTTGCGCATCGCTCGAATCTCAGAAGCAAGAAACGAGGCTATCTCGATCCTCCGCAGAGGCAAAGGTCGACGCGACTTGCAACTCGAGAGTCTCGAATCGCGTCGGACTCTATTCATACCCGCGTCGATCGTCGGCGGGCATGTTTTCGTTGCAACTTTCATCCCCCTCGGCCGGTCGGGCAGAGCGAGCTTTTTATCTCGCGCCCGGGCTGGCTTTCATCGCGACGGAAATTGCAAGCGTTCGGGAAATCGCGTAACGCGCGAGACGAGTTTAACGCAGCCGCGTCGGAGAGGAAGGAAGAGGACACGTGTGTGCCGCGCGTGTGCGCGGGTGCACGTGTGTTTGCACGCGTGCATGCACGAGAAGCGACGGCGGCTGGTGAGAGAGAGAGAGAGAGAGAGAGAGGGGGGGGAGAGAGGAGGAGGAGGAGGAAATAAAAAGAGAGAAAGAAAGAGTGAGAGAGGGAGAGAGAGCGCGCGGAGGGCAGGGGGACGACAGAGAGAGAGAGAGAGAGAGAGAGAGAGAGAGAGAGAGAGAGAGAGAGAGAGAGAAGCAGGCTCGGTCGTCCGCGAGGAATATTCAGTGCAACGTATATAAAAGCCCGTTATGCTCGGCGAGCAGTGTGCGGCTGCACACGTGTGCGTGTGCATTAGTATGGTGCACGCTATAAATAGACGTAGCAGACCGCAGAGATTCTAAGTACCCCGCCTCCTTTCATACTCGACCGCGGCCGGCGGCGCGGAGAGGAGCGGAAAACTCGCCCGCGCGATTTTACGCGGTCGCATTGCTTCCCTGGTCGAAAACGCGGGCTCGACTCGCCGTGAGGAGAAATCAATTAATCGACAAGAGCGCGGAGGCGGGAGAGAGGTAGGGAAGGAGGAGCGGGGAGGAGGAGTCGCTCGCGGGTTCTTTTGTCAGCGCGTTTACGTGGATCCAACGGAGACGCGGCGCGAAACAAATCGCGGCACCGAACGTCTCGGGTGGAAGGACGATATTTCGGCCAGGCGGATTAATTGGATCGATTTTCGGCCGTCGGCTTCCGAGGTGAACACGTCTCAGTGCGGCGACGCGCCGCTCCGGCTAACGAAGACAGCGCGAGCTTTGACGAGCAGCAGGAAGTGCTCCGTCGCGGTCAATCGCGGAACCTCGCGCGAGGGAGTTTCACCGGAGATTGATAATCGACGCTGACGAGCGGTCTCGACGACGACGACGACGACGACGACGACGACGACGACGACGACGACGACGACGACGACGACGACGACGACGACGACGACGACGACGACGACGACGACGACGACGACGACGACGACGACGACGACGACGACGACGACGACGACGACGACGACGACGGCGGCGGCGGCGGCGGCGGCGGCGGCGGCGGCGACGGCGACGGTCGAGTTAAAGTGAGACGCCTGAGGATATCCCTCTTCGAATCTATGCTTCCTGTGCCACTTCCCAGAAATGAAGGCGCCTCTCCGTGAGCGTGTTAATAAGGCGTCGATGTAAGCGTGCAATTTAAAGTGCCATTTTCGCGGCGCGCGAGCCGTTATGAGATACCGGTGCGACCGAGCGACCGAGCGACCGACCGACCGACCGACCGAACGAACGAACGACCGATACGGAGCGGCTTCTGTTTTCGGCCATGAGGATGTCAGATGAGTTACGACACCGCCGACGAGCGGGCAGGTGTCGGTTGCAGGAAGAGGTCTCGAGAGCCACCTCGTTTCCTTCTTTTTGCGTGGCGCGCCGTCATCGATCGCTTCGACGTGCGCTCGTCGTCGTCGGTCGCGGCGGCAAAGCCGCGATCTAACGAATCCTCTTCGACCTCAGAATTTCTCGATTTTGTTCGAGCGAAAATGGCGAAATATTATAATAAGTTTGTACGAAAGGATTATTTATAACAAATATTTTGAACTACTCACTTCTGAGATGCCCAGAGATGCCGGACGAGGCGTCGTTTTTTCCCGTAGCCGTAAAATATCCTGCAGACTTCAAGTCTCAAGAGCCGGTAGATCTTTCACCTGGAGAAGCACCTATGGTCTTTCAATTGCTTCTTCATCCTTCTGCCATTCTCCAATCTTGCGATCCGCGAGAGCCTGTCGAGTGAGAAATGAGTTCGACACGCCACGATTCCTCCGACTCCAAGACTCGCGTCGTCGAGAGGAATTCGAGGAATCGCTCGCGACGCAGCAGCGATAACGGGCTCCGAGGCTGCGAAATAAGCGACCTCCGCGGCGCAACAATGTAAGCAGCCCGCGGGCTCTCTCCCTCTCTCTCTCTCTCTCTCTCTCTCTCTCTCTCTCTCTCTCTCTCTCTCTCAGACACCGTAGCCGAACGTGATTCGAGCCAGCCGCGCGCGCTGGAGGCTGAAGGCCGCGAGTGTGATCTCTTCAAGGGCTTCAAGGTCAGCGATACAATCGGCGACGCTGAGGGCGCGCAGGAGGCCAGCACCGGAGACACTCGCTGAACCGAGCGAGGGGCGGGCAGGGGGAGGGGGTGGGAGGTGACCAGTTCGTTGCATAATTGCGTCACGTTGTCCGGGAATCACTGCCCTGGACGTGCACACTAGCCGTTTTGCAAAAACTCTCGGCAAACTGGATTCCCCTCGCGCGAGCGCGTCTGTGTATGTGTGTGTGTGTGTGTGTGTGTGTGTGTGTGTGTGTGTGTGTGTGTGTGTGTGTGTGTGTGTGTGTGTGTGTGTGTGTGTGTATACTTCGCACACGTGTCGCGCGGAGAACGCGCAGAGGAGGCATAACCCTCGAGACCACGGCTCGGATGAAAGGTCTCCCGTAATGTTATATATTACGATAACTAAGTCCCGCGCACGAGAGCCGGGAAATGCTTCATCCTAAATCATACGGTAATATTAACATCGTGTTTATCCACGGCCGGCTTTTCAAGGCTTCGTTTGAACGGCGGCCGCACTTCTTGACGATTCTTTCGCAAAGCGTTCTCTCACTCCTCGCTCCGCCGCTACTCCTCTTACGATATCGTCCGTCACTACTGCCGTATTGTTACACGTGTTACCCGTGTAATGATCCTCATTGTCGCTCATGTTCGACTCGCGTGTGTGTCTCTCTCTCTCTCTCTCTCTCTCTCACACACACCCCTTTTTTCTCCTCCTCGCTCGCAACGCAGCGAGGAGGAGAACGCGAGACCGGCCGGACGGAGGAAAAAAGGCTCTCGCGCATTTCAGATCAATCGCCGATCCGTCACGCTCATTCTCGCACCTGTCTTCGCCGCTGTCAGCGACACCGGCGTGCCGATTACGGCCGTTCCTTTTTTCCCCTCTCCCTCTTCCTTTCGCCCCGCAGCCGATCGGACGCTCCGCGGGCGCGAGGCCGCGCGTTTCGCGGCTAATGATTTCAGGTCCGAGGCGTAATTCATCGCTCGCGCTCGCGCTCGCGGCCCCTCGTAAGCGCGACTTTTTTGCGAAACGCTCCGCGAGCGGCTCGCGAGCGCTCGCATACACGGACGTCGTAATTCGTGTCGGTTGCTCGCAGGCCGGAACGATTAAATGATACGAACGATTAGACGGCCGGCCGGCCGGCCGGCCGCGCATGCCGCCGCAACATGAAATTATTAACGCTGGCGCCAGTTATCTCGTGTCTACCCTTCGCCGTCGCGCTCTTTTCCTCCCCCTCCCTCTCCTCCTCCTCGTCCCCTCTTCGTCCTTCTTTTTCGCCCCCCTCCTCCGGCGGAGACGCGAATTCGCCGCGCCTGTCACTCACTTCTTCGCACGCTTCTTTACGCGGAACTTTCTTGCCGCTCTTTCTTGCCGCGCGTCCCTCTATCTTCTTCCTTCGCCTGCCCCCACCCCCTCCCTCTCCTTCTCGCCGTTCTTGCTCCTTTTTATGGGACTCTATCAATCCTGCACACGGTTAGATAACGTCCGCCAAGTCCGCCGCTCTTCCGCCGAGCGCGGTGTCAAGGCTGGCGGCGGCGGCGGCCCTTTCTCGCTCGCTCGCGCGCGTTTACCGCTAAACGCGACCATCCGATCTTCGGCCCGACGCGCTGAAGCGTCTCTTAATTGATCAGCTGGACTTCGTGATATACGATTGTCGAGTTAAATGGCAGCTGCCGCGCGAGTAATCGCCGGGAATTACAACCGCGCTATAGCGATAGCAGCGCGCGCGCGGCATTCCGCCGAGTAACGTCGGCGTGCTCGTCCGCAACACGGCGAGCTGGCTTTCGTCGGCTGCCTCGCCCCCTCCCCCCCCCTCCCGACCCGCTTTCTCCCGATTACTCTCGCTCCCACAGTCGCGTTAATTACTTATCAATTTACGAGCGACACCGATTGAGAGTAATCGGCTCTCTGCGGATAGCTCTCGCGAAAAGGGACGCAGGGGCGGATGGGGGAGCGGAGGGGGGGAAGATAGAAGAATCCGCGACTTGGTGCGCGCGTCCTCGAGAGCGGCCGCGCGCGTTGCCACGGACGGATTTATTCATTCGCCGCTTATTTATTACGCAAGCCGCACACACGGCCGTGCCTCACGATTAATACGCTCGCGTCTCGTGGCGCCATTATTAAAACGTTGCGCGGCTTGTCTAGGATAAATTATCGCCGTGCATAAATCCGCTCCGTCGACTTTGAACGCGCGCGCGCGGGATTTACATAAGAGCGCATAGCGCACTAGCTGCGAGGTGCGGGAGGCGGTCGTCGCCGCTCTCGGATCGATGCGCGAGGGGGGAAGTCCAAGGGGAATCCGAGGAGAAAACACAGAGTGATTAGCACGGGGGGGGGCGGAACTGATTAGACGCGTCGGTCGCACGCGTAGCGCTCGAGCCGCTTCGGCTCAAAGTCAAAGTCGTCGGTTGTCATTACGGCCCGCTAATCGCCGCTAATTGTCCGTCGGCGAAAAGCGCGGCGCGGCGCGGCGCGGCGCGCCGGCCCTCTCGGATGTCTCGGCTTACGCTTCTGTGTCGGAGAGAGATAATCGCTGCGTACGCTCTTCTCTCGACGCACGCACACACGCATACACGTACGCACGCACGCACGCACACGCGCAGCGCGTCGGCCGCGTCGACACCTCAGGGACGAATTCCGCGACGGATTCCGCGACGGTGCAGTCGCGTCCGCGGATCGCATTGAATCGGAAAAGCCAGCCCGCTGGCTGCGCATCGCACGAAGACCTCGACGGCGAAGGAGGGAGGAGAACGAGGAGGAGCAGACGCTCTCCGTCCGCGTGGCGAAGGAAGTGCGTGCAGAGAGGAGAGATTCCGCGATGACGGGCCGTCGGGCAATGAAGAATCCAAGGATGAAGAAGGGCCATTAAGAGCTCGCGGCGCACGTTTGTCTCATATCGCGCAATTTTTTCTTTCTTATCCTCTTCGACGCGGCGCGGCGGCCGCGGCGACGAGAGGCTGCGCGCAGCGCAGGCTTTTACTGGCCGTCTACCCAGTTTCTCGAAGCAGCGCTCCGCTCCGCGCGCTCGTCTCTCGACTCTGGAGCCGTCGTCGAGAAGCTTCCGCCGAGGAGCCGCCACTGCCACACGCGAATCTAAGATTTCGCTAGTTAACCTACTTGCCCGTGGTAACGCGCTTTCTTCGTCCCGCTCCCGCGCGTCCTGCCCTCCCGCCGCTCGTCCGGGCCAGACGTCAATTTGACACTCAATAAGCGACCGCGAGGGACGATAATGAAGACAGTGACGCGGTTGTTGGATCAAACGGAGAAAGTCCATGCTCGCGCGCGCGGCCGCTCGCACTCGCTTCTTTGTTTATACGAAACGGCCTGTCCGTATCGGCCGTGATTCCCCGTGAATGATCCCGTTGAACGGTGATTGTCCATCTCGGAGCGCGATCAACGGCCGCCGCGATACATTCGACCAGGTGCCGTCGTCGTCGTCGCCGTCGTCGTCGTCGTCGTCGTTATCGGCCAGCGCGCGCGGAGAAATTGAAACGTCATCGCGCTACCCGGCCCGATCGCTCGCGCAGGCCGACGGTAATGATCCTTAAATCGCGGCTAATCGCGATTAAGATTCTAGTTTGCGATTTACGTAACGCCAACGAGCGAGCGCGCGATCGTAGCAGGCCTCCTTTTAATCCCACGAGTGCGTATATGTATGTGTGTGTGTGTGTATGTGTGTGTGTGCACGCGCGCGCGCGCGCGCGTATTAAGCACCGTGAAATACGCGAACATCGAAAGATTAATAACGTGCCGCCGCCGCGCCGCGGGCAGAATCCGCCGTGATTTTTGCGCCGGAAGATCATCCGATCGCCGCGGTTGATTAGCGGCGGCGCGACAGGTAGACGAGAGAAGCGCGGGTAATATTCAGCGAGATAAGATTAACTCGCGCGGTAATCCCTCGCGACGTTGTCCGGGAACGTTGTCGAAGGTTTCTTATCAAAGCCGAGGAACACTACGCGTTGGTCACAAACGTTGACGTTCAACGTCGCTGAAAATTGAGCCCGCGAAACATGAGAGACGCGTCTTTTTGCTCTCTTCGGTCTAAATCTAAATTTAAGTCCAACGCGAACGGTCGGTTTAGTTCCAACACTAATTAGAGATGCAGGCGCCACGGTGTCATCGACGAATCATGCCGGAATATTCGGACATTGAGGCGCGAAGGATCGAAGCGCGAGACTCGAAGGATCCGCCGGAGGAGGCGGCGGCGACTCAGGAGAGTCGGCGGACTAAAGAGGTCGAAAATCGAATGTCGACTTATCACGTTCCGCGGGCTAGAGGGGCCGCATGAGACCGCCGAGATGTTCTGCTTTCACTGAACGCTGGTGTATATTAAAGCGGAACCTAAATTAGCTAATACGCCGCAAAAACAGGATAATAGCCGGAGCTATCTTTCAGCTCGGGCCGAAGCCCGCCGCGCGGCCAATTTCCCCGTCGCTTGAAGATCAACGGAGTAAGAACCGCTCTCGCGATGACGACGACAACGACGACGATGACGACGACGACGACGACGGCGATGACTGTTACCGCGGAACGAGAATCTCAGAACCGTTCAGGAACACTCGATTTTAGGACGCGCCATTTAATTGGACGTGGACGGTAAGAGCGATTCGAATAATGACACGGGCCTCTCGACGCTTCGCTTTATGTCGCGCTGTATCGTTTGACGTCGTCGTGTGCGCGCACCTAACC